ACAGTTCTACTGTACAGTGCAATATAGATTGTTGTGATCAAACTTATTGTAACAGAAATCCAATTAAAATGATAAACTTGATAAAGACACATTTATACCATAAGCACAAAATATGGACTGAAGAAGATCGTTTAAAATGGGAAAATAACAATGACTTAGTATGGCAATACTTCGACAAAGTAGACTTATACAAAGGAAAATGTAAATTTTGTAAGAATATTCATCATGAAGCATACATACCATATCTAAAGTGGCATCTGCGAAAAAAGCATAGTCAAGAAATAAGAGCTACTGCACAAAAAGAAATTGCAACTAAGTCATTATCGCAATATTTTAAAATCGATGAGAAAGAACCTACTGCGTGGTGCAAACGTTGTTATCTTAAAATGGACATACTTTATGGAACAGATGCCTTAATACATCACATTTGTTTCAAAAAAAATCAACATTTAAGATCTCGACAAAACTCTGAACATAATAACGTGAACAGAATGACACAACAGTTTATAACCACTGAAAATGCAAATACAAGCTCCCATCATGATGATATAAATAGGCAAACTCCACGAAATCAATACTATCAACAAAGGTAATTGTGATATAATAAAATTGTAATAAAAATGTTAATGTTTCACTTAAGTTATTAATATATTATACATACTTAATACACATTAAAAATTTAATATGTTACTTAATTCAATTTATTTATCTCAACGTTTATTACAATAACGATGATAAATGATAAATGTAGTAGCCTACAATAAAAAGTCAAAAAACATTTCCAAATATAAACTTGTACCACTTTTCAATGTTAAATTTTATTTTCAAGTCAAGATGTATCAAGTATATATTTTACTCTTAATCTAATTGATTGAGAACAGAAACCGAATAATTAAGAATTAAACAATATGATTTGTAACTGAAAGATTCAATCAATAATCTTTACATATTAGAGAAAAATTATATATTTTATTTTCTCTTCTATCATCAATCTTTCCTAAACAATTTCTCAAAATATTTTCCTTGGCGTGATCGGTATTTCATATTTAGAGTCACATCGCGATATTGTAAGGATATAACGGCAGCTCTAGAAGGATCAAACAATTGGGTGCGGAAACATATTCTTAAATTGAACAGTTTTACTGTACAGTGCAATATAGATGGTTGTTATAAAACTTATACAACTGATAATAAACATGCAAGAATGATAGCAATGGTAAAGGGACATTTATATCATAAACACGAAATATGGAACGAAGAAGATCGCTTAAAATGGGAAAACGATAATGACTTGATATGGCGATACTTCGATAAAGTAAAATTATACGAAGAAAAATGTAAATTTTGTAACATTTTACTTCATCAAGCACATATTCCACTTATAAAGTCGCATCTGCGAATAAAGCACAGTCAAGAAATAAGAACTATTGTACAAAAAGAAATTGTAGATAAGTCTTTATCGCAATATTATAAAATAGATGAAAAAGAATTTAGCGCATTGTGTAAACATTGCAATGTCAAAAAGGACATATTTTATGGAACAGATGCCTTAATACACCACATTTGTTTCAAAAAGAATCAATCTTTAAGACTTCGACAAGAACTTGATGATAATGATGATCCTGGAAATGAAGAAAATGAACAAAGGTAACTGTTGTGTAACTAAATTGTTAATGTTTCACTTTTCTTAAGTTATTAATCATCTACATTTTAATAACACATTAACAATTAAGTATACTACTTAATTTAATCTATTTGTCTCAACATTTATTACAATAAACCGTGATAAATAATGTTGTAGTAGCATGCAGTAAAAATCAAGAAATATTTCCAAATTTTATAAACTTGTATCAATTTTCATTTAAATTTTATTTTCAAGTCAAGATATGTAAAATATATGTTAATCTTAATTTGATTGATTAAGACAGATATCGAATAAAAATATTGGAATTAAAGTATAATTCTTACTAAACTCAAAGATTCAATCAATTTTTTATTAATGAAAAATTATATATTTCATTGTCTCCTATTATCAACCTTTCCTAAACTACTTCTTTGAACATTTTCCTTGGTTTAATCGATATTTCATATTTAGTAACACATCACGATACTGTGTGGATGCAATGGCAGCTCTAGAAGAATCAGATAGTTGGGTGTGGAAACATGTTGTTAAATTAAACAATTTTACTGTACAGTGCAATATAGATAGTTGTGATCAAATTTATAAGTATACAATTGATCATAAACATACAAATAGAATGATAACAAGGTTAAAGGGACATTTATACCATAAGCATGAAATATGGACTGAAGAAGATCGCTTAAAATGGGAAAACAACAATGACTCAATATGGCAATATTTTGACAAAGTAGACTTATACAAAGAAAGATGTAAATTTTGTAAGTATTTTCGTCATGAAGCATATATACACAATCTAAAGTTGCATCTACGAAAAAAGCATAGTCAAGAAATAAGTGCTGCTGCACAAAAAGAAATTGCAACTAGGTCACTATCGCATTGTTTTAAAATTGATGAGGAACTTATTGCATGGTGCAAACGTTGCAATCATAAAATGGACATACTTCACGGAACAGATGCCTTAATGCATCACATTTGTTTCAAAAAGAATCAACGTTTAAAGTCTCGGCAAAAATCTGAAAATAATAATGTAAATAGAATGATACAACAGTCTACAGTCACTGAAAATGCAAATACAAATTCCCATCATGATGATATAAATAGGCAAGTTCCTCAAAATCAAGATTTTCGACAAAGGTAATTATTATATAATAATGTTATATAATAAATATAATAAAAATCTGTTATATAATAAAAATGTTAATGTTTCATTTTTTTTAAGTTATTAATTTATTATGTACACTCAATACACAATAAACTAAGCAAAAAATTTAGTTTATATAATACTTAATTCAATTTATTTACCTTAATGTTTATTACAATAACAATGTTGTAATAGCCTATAAAAGTGAACATTTCCAAATATAAACTGGTATTAATTTTCAATGTTAAACTTTATTTTTAAATCAAGATGTATAAAATATATAATGTTAATCTTAATTTGATTGATTGACAACAGAAATCATATAAGTAGGAATTAAAGTCTATAATTCTCAATGAACTGAAAGATTCAATAACCTTTATTAATGAAAAATTAATGAAAAATTACATGTCTTCTATTATATTACAAATTTCACTCTCTCCTATCATCAAGCTTTCTTAAACAACTTCTCTGAACATTTTTCTTGGATTAATCGTTATTTCGTATTTAGTAATACATCACAATACTGTGCGGATGCAATGGCAGCTCTAGAAGGATCAGACAATTGGGTGTGGAAACATGTTGTTAAATTAAACAATTTTACTGTACAGTGCAATATAGATTGTTGTGTTCAAACTTATTATAATAAAAATACAAGTAGATTGATAACATCGATGAGGGTACATTTATACCATAAGCACAAAATATGGACTGAAGAAAATCGCTTAGAATGGGAAAACAACAACGATTTGATATGGCAATATTTTGACAAAGTAGACTTATACAAAGGAAAATGTAAATTTTGTAGGAGTATTTGTCATGAAGCATATATACCAAATCTAAAGTCGCATGTGCTAAAAAAACATAGTCAAAGAATAAGAGCTGCTGCACAAAAAAAAATTGCAACAAAGTCACTATCGCAATGTTTTAAAATCGATGAGAAAGAACTTAGTGTATGGTGTAAATGTTGCAATCATAAAATGGACATATTTTATGGAACAGATACCTTAATACATCATATTTGTTTCAAAAAGAATCAATGTTTAAAGTCTCGACAAAAATCTGAAGATAATAACGTAAATAAAATGACACAACAGTCTGTAGTCACTGAAAATACAAATACAAGCTCCCATCATGATGATATAAATAAACAAGCTCCTCAAAATCAAGATCTGCAACAAAGGTAACTGTTATATAATAAAAATGTTAATGTTTCACTTTTTTTAAGTTATTAATATATTATGTACACTTAATATACATTAAAAATTTAGTACTTACTTAACTCAATTTATTTATTTACCTCAACGTTTATTACAATAACGGTGATAAACGATGTTGATGTAGTCTACAATAAAAAGTCAAGAAACATTTCCAAATATAAACTTGTACCAATTTTCAATGTTAAACTTCATTTTCAAGTCAAGATGTGTCAAATATATTAGGTGTAGTAAAAAGAAGAAATCCATTATTTTTGCATGAAATTGAATGGAAAAATAATGGATTTCTTTTTACTACACCTAATATAATATTAACCCTAATCTGATTGATTCACAATAGAAATTGAATAAATAGAAATTAAATAATATGATTTTTAACTGAAAGATTCAATCAATAATTTTTATATATTAGGGAAAAATTATATGTTTTACTCTCTCTTTTATTATCAACTTTTCCTAAACAACTTCTTTAAATATTTTCCTTGGCTTGATCGGTATTTCATATTTAGTGACACATATTGTACGGATGTAATGGCTCTAGAAGGATCAAACAATTGGGTGCGGAAACATATTCTTAAATTAGACAATTCTACTGTACAGTGCAATATAGATGGTTGTGACCAAACTTATAAATATACAATTGATCATAAACGTACAAGTAGAATGATAACAAGGATAAAGGGACATTTATATAATAAGCACGAAATATGGACTGAAGAAGATCGCTTAAAATGGGAAAACAATAATGACTTGATATGGCAATATTTTGACAAACTAGACCTGTACAAAGGAAAATGTAAATTTTGTAAGAATATTCATCATGAAGCATACATACCATATCTAAAGTGGCATCTGCGAAGAAAGCATAGTCAAGAAATAAGAGCTGCTGTACAAAAAGAAATTGCAAATAAGTCACTATCGCAATATTTCGAAATTCAAGAGGACGAATTTAGTGCACGATGCAAACGTTGCAATCTTGAAAAGGACATATTTTATGGAACAGATGCCTTAATACACATTTGTTTAGATGAAAATGAACGTTTAAGATTACGACAAGATCCTGAAGATAATGATATGAACAGAATGACACAACCAAGGACACAACAGTCTATAATTACTGAAAATGCAAATACAAACTCCCATCATGATGATATAAATAGGCAACCTCCTCGAAATGAAGATCAACAAAGGTAACTGTTATGAAAAAATTTATAAAATGTTAATATTTCACTCTGCTTAAGTTATTAATATATTGTATGTATATTTTAATACACATGAAAAAGTTAGTTACTTAATTCAATCTATTTATTTCAATGTTTATTAAAATAATATGATAAACGATATCGTAATAGCATATAATAAAAAATCAAGAAACATTTCCAAATATAAACTTGTACCGATTTTCTAAACTTGTTAAAATCTAACTTCTAAACTTGTTAAACTTTATTTTCAAGACAAGATGTATAAAATAAATAACGTTAATCTTAATCTGATTGATTGACAACAGAAATCCAATAAGTAGAAATTAAAATATATAATTCTTATTGAACTGAAAGATTTAATCAATAACCTTTATCAATGAAAAATTACATATTTCACTCTTTCCTATCAATCTTTCCTAAACAGCTTCTCTGAATATTTTCCTTGACTTAATCGATATTTCGTATTTAGCAACACATCACGATACTGTGCGGATTTAATGGCAGCTCTACAAGGATCAGACCATTGGGTGTGGGAACATCTTAAATTAGATAATTCTAATGTACGATGCAAAAGTTGTATTCAAACTTATAAAATTGGCAAAAAAAATAAACTTATTGATATGATAGTGATAATAAAAGCACATTTATACCATAAGCATGAAATATGGAATAAAGAAGATCGCTTAAAATGGGAAAACGATAATGACTTGATATGGCGATACTTCGACAAAGTAGGCTTATACGAAGCAAAATGTAAATTTTGTGACCGTTTACTTCGTCAACCATATGTACCACTTATAAAGTCGCATTTGCAAAGTCATCATCAAGAAATAAGAGCTGGTGTACGAAAAGAAATTGCGGATAAATCTCTATCGCAATATTTCGAAATTTATGAGCAAGATTTTAGTGCACGGTGCAAACGTTGCAATGTTGAAATCGGCATATATTACGGAACAGATGCCTTAATACATCACATTTGTTTCAAAAAGAATCAATCATTAGGATCTCAACAAGAATTTGATGATAATGATATGAACAGAATGACACAACAATCTGCAGCCGATGAAAATACAAGTTCACATGATATAAATAGACAAGTTTCTGGAAATGAAGAAAATGAACAAAGGTAACTATTGTGTAATTAAATTGTTAATGTTAAATTCAATTGTTAAATTTCACTTTCTTAAGTTTTCAATGTAACATCTGCATTTTAATACGCATTAACAATTAAGTATATTACTTAATTAAACTTATTTATCTCAACGTTTATTACAATAAACCGTGATAAACGATGTTGTAGTAGTCTGCAGTAAAAAATCAAGAAATATTTCCAAATTTTATAAACTTGTACCAATTTTCATGTAAACTTTATTTTTAAATCAAGGTGTATAAAATATAAAATCAAGATGTATAAAAATGTATAAAATGTTAATCTTAATCTTATTGATTAACGACAGAAATCGAATAAATAGAAATTAAACTACATGATTCTTACTAAACTGAAAGATTCAATCAATAATCATTATTAATGAAAAATTATATATTTCATTCTCTCTCTTATCATTAATCTTTTCTAAACAGCTTCTTTGAATTTTCCTTGGCTTAATCTTTATTTCGTATTTAGTAACACACGATACTGTGCGGATTTAATGGCAGCTCTAGAAGGATCGGACAATTGGGTGTCACAACATCTTAAATTAGATAATTCTACTGTACAGTGCAGAAGTTGTATTCAAACTTATAAAATTGGCAAAAGAAGTAAATTTATTGAAATGATAACAATGATAAAGGCACATTTATACCATAAGCATGAAATATGGAATGAAGAAGATCGTTTAAAATGGGAAAATGACAATGACTTGATATGGCAATATTTCGACAAAGTAAGCTTATACGAAGCAAAATGTAAATTTTGTGATCGTTTACTTCGTCAACCATATGTATCACTTATAAAATCGCATCTGCAAAGTCATCGTCAAGAAATAAGAGCTGGTGTACGAAAAGAAATTGCGGATAAGTCTCTATCGCAAAATTTCAAAATTCATGAGGAAGAATTTAGTGCACAGTGCAAAAGTTGCAATGTTGAAAACGACATATTTTACGGAATAGACGCTTTAATACATCACATTTGTTTTAAAAATAATCAATCTTTAAGATTTCGACAAGAAACTGATAATAATGATGTGAACAGTATGACACAACAATTCATAGCCGATGAAAATACAAGTACAAGTTCACATCATGATATAAATAGACAAACTCCTAGAAATCGAGAAAATAAACAAAGGTAACTGTTGTGTAATTAAAATGTTAATGTTTCACTTTTCTTAAATTATTAATATATCATTTAATATATGCATTATCATTTTAATACGCATTAACAATTAAATATATTATTTAATTTAATCTATATATTATATATATCTCAACAATAAACGGTTTTAAACGGTGTTGTCGTAATCTGCAATAAAAAATCAAGAAATATTTCCAAATTTTATAAACTTATACTAATTTTCATTTGTTAAATTTTATTTTCAAGTCAAGATTTGGAAAATATATAATGTTAATCTTAATCTGATTGATTGATTGACAACATAAATCGAATAATTAATTAAGAATTAAACTATATCATTCTTACTAAATTGGAAAATTCAATCTATAATCTTTATTAATGAAAGTTACACATTTCACTCTCTCTCCTATCATCAATCTTTCCTAAACAGCTCCTCTGAACATTTTTCTTGGCTTAATCGATATTTCATATTTAGTAATACATCGCGACAGTGTGAGGATATAACGGCAGCTCGACAAAGATCAGACAATTGGGTGTGGAAACATGGTCTTAAGTTAAACAATTCTACTATACGGTGCAATATAGATAAATGTAATCAAACTTATTATAGTAAACATAAAAATGTAAGTATATTGATAAAATCGATGAAAGTACATTTATATCATAAGCATGAAATATGGACTGAAGAAGATCGCTTAAAATGGGAAAACAACAATGACTTGATATGGCAATATTTTGACAAAGTAGACTTATACAAAGGAAAATGTAAATTTTGTAAGAATTTTCGTCATGGAGCATATATACAAAATCTAAAGTCGCATCTGCGAAGAAAGCATAGTGAAGAAATAAAAGCTGCTATACAAAAAGAAATTTCATTTAAGTCGCTATCGCAATATTTTGAAATTCAAGAGGAAGAATTTAGTGCACGATGCAAACGTTGCAATGTTGAAAAGGACATATTTTACGGAACAGATGTCTTAATACGTCACAATTGTTTTAATAAGAATCAACGTTTAAAATCTCGACAAGAACCTGAAGATAATGTGAACAGGATGACACAACAATCTATAGCCGATGAAAATACCAGTACAAGTTCACATCATGATAATATAAATAAACAAGCTCCTGAAAATCGAGAAAATGAACAAAGGTAATTGTTATGTAATTCAAATGTTAATGTTTCACTTTTCTTAAATTATTAATATATCATCTACTTTAACATGCATTAAATATTTAGCATATCATTCAATTTAATCTATTTATTTCAACATTTATTATAATAAACGATGATAAACGTTGTTGTAATAGTCTGTAGTAAAAAAGTCAAGAAATATTTCCAAATTTTATGAACCAATTTTTATTGTTAAACTTTATTTTTAAGTCAAGACGTGTAAAATATATAGTAATAATCTTAATCTGATTGATTGACGACAAAAATCGAATAAATAGCAATTAAACTACATGATTCTTATTGAACTGAAAGATACATTAACTTTTATATACTAATAAAAATTACATATTTTACTTTCTTTTCTATCATTCTTTTATAAACTGCTTCTCTGAATATTTTTCTTGTTTTAATCGGTATTTCGCATTTAGTAACACATCGCGACTCTGTGCGGCTCGAAGAAGATCAGACAATTGGGTGTGGAAACATGTTGTTAAATTAGACAATTTTACTGTAAAGTGCGAAATAGATAGTTGTAATAAAACTTATTATGATAGTACTAAAAATTCATGTAGAACGATAAGAATGATAAAAGGACATTTATACCATAAGCACAAAATATGGACCGAAGAAGATCGTTTAAAATGGGAAAACAACAATGACTTGGTGTGGGAATATTTTGACAAAATAGACTTTTACAAAGGAAAATGTAAATTTTGTAAGAATATTCGTCATGAAGCAAATATACAAAATCTAAAGTCGCATTTGCGAAAAAAACATAGTCAAGAAATAAGAGCTGCTATACAAAAAGAAATTGCATATAAGTCGCTATCACAATATTTCGAAATTCAAGAAGAAGAATTTAGTGCACGGTGCAAACGTTGCAATATTGAAAAGGACATATTTTACGGAATAGATGTCTTAATACGTCACAATTGTTTTGATAAGACTCAACTTTTGAAATCTGGACAAGAATCTGAAGACAATAAAATGAACAGAATGACACAACAGTCTATAGCCACTGAAAATACAAACTTCCATCATGATGATATAAATAGGCAAACTCCTCGAAATCAAGATCAACAAAGGTAATTGTTACACAATAAAAATATTAATGTTTTTTTTTTCTAAAGTTATAAATACATAATTTATACATTAAATATATTACAAATTTATTATAGTATATTACTTAATTTACTTCAACGTTTTGCAATCGGTAAAATATTTTGTAAGTTGCAATAATTGCAGCAATTACACTATTAACATATTTTATAGCAACACAGGAATAAATAATTTAAGATCTGACTCTCATTATCATATAAATAAAAATTCGAGATCTAAAAAAGGAGATGCTGCAGATAATAGCGAGTATATGATGCAGCAAGACGTAGCAGCAGAAAATATGGCTACACATTATCATCATGAAAGTACATATTGGCATGATCTTGAAAATCAAGATCAACAGAGGTAAATGATAACATCAGTATATTTAATTCTTCTTGAAGAATTAGTATATTCTATTATAAACAATTGAACATTTAATGATTAACGATATAGACTACATAAATTTGAGTGAAATATGATTTCAATGTTATATTTATATTCAACTTAAATAATATTAATTAGTGAATGTATATCAAGTTCTGGAGGAAATAACACGAATAACGTAGTATTCCTTGCTCATGATGTTTCGGATGTAAGTTCTCATCATGACGATACAAACTGGCAAGCTCTTGGATATCAAATAGATCAACAGAGGTACGTGCTATTAATTTAATGTCAAGTGTTACTAATATCAAAATTAGTGCCACAAAGTTCTATAATAAAAAAACTCTCGGAAAATTAATTAACTGTCAATGTCTGCACGAATGGATATTCAAAATTTCAAGAAAGAAAAACTAACGTTAAAATAATATAATGTATATAGAATTGTGCAGCAAGACGTAGCAGCAGGAAATATGGTTACACATTATCATCATGTAGGTACATTTTGGCATGGTCTTGAAAATCAGGAAAATCAACAGAGGTAAATGATAATAACATCAATATATTTTATTTTTCTTTATTAAAGATTAGTATAGTTAAAGATTAGTATATTCTATTATAAACAACAGAATTGAATATTTTAACGATTAACGATAGACTACATAAATTTGAGTGAAATATTTAATAAATATAATTTCTATGTTATTATATTTAAGTAATATTTAATTTAAGTAATATTAACTAATGAATATATATTAAGTTCTGAAGGAAATAACACGAATAACACAATATTCCTTGCTCATGATGTTTCGGATGTAAGTTCTTGTCATGATGATACAAACTGGCAAGATCTTAGATATCAAATAGATCGACAGAGGTATGCTATTAATTTAATGTCAAGTGTTACTAATATCAAAATTCGTGACCTAAAAAATTCTATGATAAAAAAAGTTCTCGAAAGATTAATTAAATGTCAATGTCTGCACGAATGGATATTCAAAATTTCAAGAAAGAAAAACTAACGTTAAAATAATATAATATATATAGAATGATGCAGCAAGACGTAGCAGCAGAAAATATGGTTACACGTTATCATCATGTAGGTACATTTTGGCATGGTCTTGAAAATCAAGATCAACAGAGGTAAATGATAATAACATCAGTATATTTTATTCTTCTTGAAAGATTAGTATATTCTATTATAAACAACAAAATTGAACATTTAACGATTAACGATATAGACTACATAAAGTTGAGTGAAATATTTAATAAATATGATTTCAATGTTATATTTATATTCAACTTAAATAATATTAACTAATGAATATATATCAAGTTCTGAAGGAAATAACACGAATAATACAGTATTCCTTGCTCATGATGTTTCGGATGTAAGTTCTCGTCATGATGCTACAAATTGGCAAGCTCTTGGATATCAAATAGATCAACAGAGGTACGAGCTACTAATTTAATGTCAAGTACTAATATCAAAATTCGTGGTTCAAAGTTCTATGAAAAAAAGCTCTCGTAAAATTAATTAACTGTCAATGTCTGCACGAATAGATATTCAAAATTTCAAGAAAGAAAAACTAACATTAAAATAATATAATGTATATAGAATGATGCAGCAAGACGTAGCACCAGTAAATATGGCTACAAGTTATCATGATGGAAATACATATTGGTATGTTCTTGGAAATCAAGATGATCAACAAAGGTAAATAATACTAATATCGATATATTTTATTCTTTTTGAAATACCAATATATTCTATTATAATTAACGCAATTATCTAGTAAACGGAAATGGATTGAAATGGATTGAAATTTTTTTCTATCCAAATGCGTATTTTAAAAGCGAATATTTTTTTTTTTATTTAATTAGATTCAGTTGGATTCAATTAGATTTAGATTTGGATGCAATTGGATTGAAAAACTGGATTTCCTATTCAAAATTTTGAATTGAACAGTATTCACAATTTGTATTTTTGCACATAAAAAAGGATAATATTATTTTTAGATTGAAAGACATAGAGATATGTTCCATGCAATTCCTATAAATGAATAAAAATGCATTCAGGATTAAAAAGTATTCATTTTAACATTCGTGAATCAATATTTCTGAAAATCTGAAGCCATTTCAATTTATTTCAATTCCTTCTCGTTTACTGGGTAACATTGAAATATATAAATTTCATAAAGTTGAGTCAACATTTAAATATAATTTCAAATGTTACATTTATATCCAACTTAAATAATATTTACTAATGAATATATATGAAGTTCTGAAGGAAATGACATGAATAACATAGTATCCCTTGCTCGTGATGTTTCGGATGTAAGTTTTTCTCATGATGGTACAAACTGGCAAACTCTTGGATATCAAGTAGATCAACAGAGGTATGTATTATTATTTCAATATGTCAAGTATTACTGATAGCAGTGATATCAAAATTCGTGATTCAAAGTTCTACAGTAAGAAAGCTCTCGAAAGATAGTATTTATCAATATTATATTACGAATGGCTATTTAAGATTTCAAGAAGGAACTAATGTTAGTAACGTGCACAGAATGCATCAATTCGTGGCAGCAGAAAATGTGACTACAAATTCTCATAATGACGGTACAACTTTGCAAGCTCCTGGAAATCATAAAAATCAATAAAATCAAATTTATTGATATATCGATGTCATTTTCATATCATCATGACTTTTTGTTCTGCTTAGAGGAAACCTTCCCAGCAAACGAGAATGGATTAAAATGGATTGAAATTTTTTTCTATCCAAATGCGTATTTTAAATAGCGAATACTTTTTTTTGGTTCAATTGAATTCAATTAGATTTAATTGGATGCAATTGGGTTGAAAAACTGCATTTCTTATTCACTGTTCAAAATTTTGAATTGAACAGTATTCACAATGCGTGCATACACAGAAAAAGTTAATATTATTTTTAGATTGAAAGGCATAGAGATATGCTTCGTGCAATTCCTATAAATGAATAAAAATGCATTCAAAATTGAAAAGCATTCATTTTAACATTCGTGAATCAATATTTCTGAAAATCTGAATTCATTTAAATTCATTTCAATCTATTCTCGTTTGCTGGGTTTACACACTACAACTTTCACTTTCTATAACCAGGATTGGTAAAGACTAGTAGGTTTTTTTTTTTTTAATAAAACACATTGTGTTTCTTCTTAAATGTTTCAATATTTCAAATATACTTTAAACAGTAAAGTATAAAAAAAACATTTAAAACATATTAAAAACATTAGTTAAGGGGATAGAGATCCTAAAAATTGAAATCAGCCAATGCTGACTCGATCCGTGATTGGTTCTGCTATGATGTTATGAAACCGGATATGAGAATGAAAGAAACTAATGTGATAATGAGAAAAGCATCATCTACTTATCATCAATAACGTTATTAGAGACTAAAAATAATTTAATTTAGACGAGTTTTTTACAGTTAGTAATGCTTAAAATCATCAGTGAAAATGTCGTTTGAATTTTGTTAAAATGTATATAAAAATGTACAAAAATTCCTGTATTTATAAAGGAGACTATTATATATATGGTAATACTCTTATATTGCTAACGCAATCTTTTTTGAGAGGTGTGCAAAGACAGAAAAATAGAGAATAATCGGACTTTTCATACATGCGAATAAGATTGATTAGAAATACGCGCATACATATTGAAGGTTTCAAATACATTATCTAAGTGAGAGGTAGATATCATCTGCACCATGGTGTTTTTGCTAATTTTTAAGTGACGTTAGTAATATAGAAGTATTATCCAGCAAACGAGAATGGATTGAAATGAATTGAAATGGATTCAAATTTTCTTGGTAGAAGTGGGGATCGGCCCCTTAGCGCCGCTTGGGACTGTGGCACTGAAATTACGGAACTAAAAGCCGTCACGTGACTAGTAGTGAAAATATTCAAACCTATGCGCGCATAGCCATACAAATATATTAGTTTTTACAAGTTTCTGAACGATATGTTAACTAATGTTATTTATATTATTTGAGATTACATCATTTAAGATAGAAAAATATATATTACTTCTCCATCTTAAATAATTCAATTTTAATAAATGTAAATAACATTAGTTAACACATTAGTTAACACAGCTCAGAAACTATTTTCACGCATTTGTATTTAAATTAATATGAAATATTATTAAATCTAATACTTATTAAAAATTCTTTTTTATATTTTTAGTAGTAGTATTTATTTTTTGTGTGTGTGTGTGTGTGTGTGTGTGTGTGTGTGTGTGTGTGTGTGTGTGTGTGTGTGTGTGTGTGTGTGTAGGATGCTTCATCAAAATCCGGACAAATCGAACAATTTCTTGAAACAAAATGTTTTTAATGAAAAATTAAATATTATAAAAAAACCTTTTACATTGGGGGATCCCTGTAGAACACAATTATTCGATTCCCCATTAGCTTGAATGATGACCTCTATTCTCAATCTAAAGCGCACGCTGTAATGTAGCGCTGTCCATGCCGACGAATGCTGCTTCAATAGCAGTCCTTAATGATGTCACATTAGATGCCGAAACTTGTTTGTGACCCCTTTCAATTACGCTTCATATGTAGTAATCCAAGGAATTTAAATCTGGACTGTTGGGAGACTAGAATGGGAGCCGAAGCGAGCAACTCGGCTTGTCCTGACAACCTCAGAGAATATCTATCATATCTTTAATGTGTACGATTTGTATCGATGGTCTTCCTCGGCAATTCGACGCTCGCTTACACCAATAATCGATGCTAATTTTCGCAATGATTGCCCTGGGTCATCCGAAATCAGCGTCTGAACCCTTTCAATCTTGCGGGGGTCCTCGCAGTGCATTCTTTCGAGTGACTCTCATACTGGAACCTTCGACTGTTCTACAGCCATTCAATCAGAGTTCTGGTATGTAAATTCGATATTATATCCCAGAGCTCTGATTGGACAGCTCGTTATTCCCTGTTCCCTATGCCTATTGTATTTAACCCTTAATACATGGGTGCACCTGGATAAATTTTCGAACACAAATTCCAATTTCCAAAAAATTCAATAAGCATATATATAATTTTTCCAAGTATCGCAATGTTGTAGCAAAAATTGAACGAAATTGAACATTTCTCGCAAATGAGTCGAGTTGTGCATGGCTACACAAAAAGCAGAATTAATTAAAAAATGTGATTTTGGGATCAATCATGAAACTTTATTCCTAGGATGGAAAATGAAAAGGTGAAAAATTTCTCCATTAATTTCAATGATAAAATTTTTTTACTTTTCACTTTTCATCGTAGGAATAAAGTTTCTTGATTGGTATCCTTATATATTATACCTTGATATATGTAACAAAACATACACATACACATAAACTTACACATTTATCCTTGTTTAACATTCAGTGAATAAGGATAAAATGATACATAAATATTTGAGTGAAGATAACTTGGATGTTGCGCGTCGCATATCGTGCTGGTGTGCAAGAGCTTAAAACGCGGTAACCAATGAACATGTTAGGAGCTTTATTGGCTACCGCATCACATTTTGCTGGGTCCAGTGTGCAGGAGCCACGAGTTCCGATTTATTGGCTTCTGCTTTTCCGTCAACGTGTGAATCCGATCTTACAATCGCGAAACGAACATACACGCGTCATTATAATTTATTAGGAGTACAAATTAGTTCGGGCCGTTTCCCTAAAGATGGCTCCAGCTGTTGTGAATGGTTCATAGTGACAGCTGATTTTGGCGGTTTCAGAGAGGTTAAACATCTGCTAATAATATTCAGTTTATATCGTTTTGAGTTTCATATAAAAACCTTGATTTTTACTGTGTTTGAAATGTCGAATTTTGTGTTAACCAAGCAGCATTTGCGGGAGGTTTTGATTTTCTGCTTTAATTGGAAGAAAAGTGCGGCTGAAGCCCATCGAATGCTTGTCGAAGTTTATGGTGACACTGCTCCAACTGATAAATCATGTAGGGAATGGTTTCGACGTTTCAAGGATGGAGAATTCAGCGTTGAAGACAAGCCTCGCTCTGGACAGCCAAAAAAATTCAAAGACAAAGAATTAGAGGCATTACTCGAAGAAGATCAGAGTCAAACGCAAAAGGAGCTTGCAGAATCATTGGGGGTAACTCAACAAGCCGTTTCTGTACGATTGAGAGCCATGGGAATGATTCAAAAACAAGGAAATTGGGTGCCTTATGAACTGAAACCGAGAGACGTTAAAAGGCGATTTTTTACTTGCGAAAAACTGATTCAAAGACAACAGAGAAAAGGTTTTTTGCATCGGATTGTGACTGAAGATGAGAAGTGGATATTCTACGACAACTCCAAGAAGAAAAAATACTACGCTAAGCCCGATCAGTCGTTGCCATCGACCTCAATATCAACACCACAGCCGAACATTCATGGTTCGAAGATCATGCTCTATATCTGGTGGGACCAAAAGGGTCTTGTTTACTACTAAGCTGCTGAAACCTGGCGATTCCATTACGGGCGATCGGTATCGGTTACAATTGATTTCGTTTGAGCTATGCATTGCGAGAAAAACGGCCGGAATACGAGCAAAGACATGATAAAGTTATTTTTCTTCATGACAACGCTCGGCGCTCATGTCGCTAAAGTCGTAAAAAAATATTTGGAAACACTCAAATGGGATGTTTTACCGCACCCGCCGTATTCTCCGGACATTGCTCCTTTTGATTACTGGTTGTTCCGAAGGATGCAACAAGTCACCAGTTCACTTCTTTCGCAGAAATCGAAAATTGGCTCCAAAATTGGCCTCCAAAGACGAGTCATTTTTTCGAGATGGAATTGAAATTCGAAAATTGCTTGAGGGATGGGAAAAAGTAGTAGGCAGCGATGGACAATGCTTTAATTGTTCATTCATTTTGTTTTAAAATAAATGCATTTTTGAACACAAAAAACGGACCGAACTAATTTGTACTCCCAATATAATTATATGAATTGTGGCCTCGAGAATCTCTTCACTAATTTGATGGCCATATGAAATTTTCTTATTTTTGGCCAGACCACTTAACTTTCAACCTAAAACTTAACCACTTAATTTTCAACCTAAAACTTTGTAAAACTAATATGATCTACTGCAAGGATGGTGTCGTGGAACGAAAGCGACATCTAGATCGAACTAATTCAGATGATCACTTTTGACCATGCTTTTTGATGGCTTCGTCCATATAGTATAAGTTCGATCTCCTGTTCTCTATCCTTCATGGCGAGCATCAAGATTTGTCAAGGTTTTACCGCCTGGCCTGGTTTTCCGGCACATTTAGCAATTGTTAGGTTACGTATTGTTTGTTTCATTAGTTCTGTGACTCGGTGGCTTTTTATCAATGAATAAAAAAATTCATTTCTTCGATAATCCGTTTTGAAATCCAAAGAAGAATTTTGGTTCTATCTAGTGTCTAAAATCGGATGCAAGAAATACGATACACTAGTAGGACGGCAGCAAGCATAGATAACCGTCGAGAATCGGTATGGATCCTTTTCCAGCGTCGTTGTCGATCGTCGAATATTTCTTTTATAATAGTATAGCATCGACAAACTGATAGTGGGAACGTATAATCTGTGTATTCTGATGTATTCGCAAAATTTCTACGAATAATTGTCGTTGTGCTTAGTGATTTAGATCTAAACTTCCATTTAGAGAATTTTTATGTTTTTGTCCATTTTTTCTATTTTTGTTATATTTAGTGTTTAAATAAGGTGTGTACCGATCTACAATTAGTGTAATAAATCTTCAACTTTTTTGCTTTAAATTTTAAACTCTAATGTATTTTTTCCAACAAAAAGCGTTTCCTTTGCTTAAATTGTAATCCTTATGCTAAATAATTTAAATCCCAATTGAAATTTAAAGTTTAGAGCAACTTATTGTTACAGTTCAGAGCTTAAAGCAAAAGGCTTATTATATTTATTGTAGATCAGGGCAATTTAACTTTGGTAATCTAATGTTTATGATTTTTTTATACAAGAATTACTGAACAAAATGCCAAGAGCACGGATGTTTTCGCGTTCTGTCTTGAACGCTCGTCCACTCAATATGACATTAAACTTGGAGTGCATAGAGGAACCCCTTAGTGAAGCTCAACTACAAATAAAAACAAAGCAGAAAGAGAATTATGATAAAGTAATTTTATCTGGCAATAATTTTTTTTTTGTGACATGAGCATATATTGTACATCAATCTTGTTATTATCAGGTTGCAGCTATGCTAGAAGAATTGATTAAAGAACAGGGAGCTAAATTGATATGTCAAATAGGGGATACCAGTGGTTATCAGTATACAGTGTAAGTATTTAATTATAAAATGCACTAGTGTCAAATATGATTACTACATAATTTATTAATTACAGACCTTCAACACAGACTTCAGCAGCAGTTCAGAATAACTCGCAGATTAATCCTCAGATTCTAAATGTTGTAAGTATTTTAATTATTTATAAACTTTAGTATAATGGGGAGAACAAATTTATATGTATAGGATATCTGATAATTATTGATATGTAGTATCCCATTTTAAATGACAACCTCAAATTTCTCTTGAACAGTACATTTCAGAGAAAAATGTTTCAGACAAAAATTTGGTTTCTTCAAGGAAGAAAACTTCAAGGAAGATATAAAATGGTATTATTGGTTTGATCTTGAGTGGTGTTAAAGTGAGGGCAAGGTCACTTTGAATTTTTTTCATTATATCTTTTTATATCCATTTTTCATTATATTTTTTTGTAATTTATCTCTCTAGAGCTTTTCAAAACATTATAATAAAATATTTTTTATTAGGTACTTTGCGAGTTATAAGGCTTGAAAGTTATATTACTGTCGACATTAGCTTTATCCAAGGTCAAACCAATAATATCATCTTAAGTCTCCTTCGAAATCACAAAACTTTAGTCTGAAACATCTTTCTCTAAAATGTACTATTCAAGAGAAATTTGAGGTCATCATTTAATGCTCCTGAATAGTCGCCGCGGTCATGTTGGAATTGTGATGGAAGAAATGAGGAATGACACATTGATTTATGTTATGTACCATTTGTAAGTAAAGACAATTTGGATAAATGACGAAATTGCTTTAAAATATTTTTAAAAATCGACGAAAATTATTCTTTCCTCCTTTGACAATTAGTAAATGATCGTAAAAGGCACGTAAAATGAGTCTATATACTTTGGCAAAAATACGATCTGATAGCTGTTGAAAAATAGTTAAAAAATATGCTTGTACATATAAAATTCCAAGTAACTTTAATTTTTGTCGATTACGACTTTGATAAGTACGAGACAAGTCATTGCCATGCTGCTTACTTAAAAATTGTAAAATTGTACTGGATTGTCTATCAGCGACTTGTGTATATATATTAATTATCAAACCTTTATAAATTAATTTCTCATTTAGCTATTGCAAAAAACGCAAAATGATACAGAACTTTTCTATTTGATTTAGCTGTTCACAAACATTATGTCAATAATTATCAGACTATATTTTCTCATCTAAAAATAATATTTTTTTTTTTTACTTTTAGACTCAACAAAATAAGAATTCAACACCAATTAAATTGAATATTACAAGTAATTCAAGCGGAGGAAACATGCCTCAAGGAAACATTCAGCTAGTAGTTGATCCACGTATGGGACATGTTATTTTGGGACCTGTTACGCAGACTCAAGGTAAATAAACTACTTGTTAGAACCGCAGTTTATTGAAGACAATTTAACTTTCATTGGTGTTTGCGGGTCCAGTAGACATTTTTTTCAATTGTAACAAATCTTCAGCTAGCTTTGTTTATAACAATTTCTTTCACAATCTTAATTTTAAATTACATAATCTTATTCCTCAGATTTCACTTTTAAATTGAAAAAAAAAATTGTTTACTTATGTTAATTTTAAGCAAAAATACATATTAAAAATTTTGTTGGGGACACTGGACTCACGAATACTAGTCAAAGGGGAACGAATACAAATTAAGATTAAACAGTTTCAGGTACAACAACTACAACCACATCTGCAACTTCGACTGTAACTCCTCAGCCTCAACAAGAGAATGTACTTTCAATTCTATTTATATTTTCTTTATTAAGAATAGATCCTTAATATTAATTACATTAATATTTTTTTATTTTAAACAAATTTAATCAATATTTTTTCAGTATAAATACACCAGATCTGGACGTAGGACAAAAGTTCTTCAAGTGCAACAACCTGATATTATAGAAGAAGTATGATTTTTACAAGAAGTTACACATTTTTTACACTAATTAGTTAATAATTAATAAATATATTACAATATCTTATTCTTACAGTCAGCACCCACAGTTACTCGCGTGAAATCAAAAACTGCATCACCACATGTATCAAATAAAGGTAATGTAATATTTTATAAATTGATATATTTTATAAAGAGAAAGAAAAAAGAAAATTAAAACAAAGAATTAATTAATAAAAATAATATGGATCCCTCAGTTTCTGTCACTCCTCAAAATGTGACAAATCTCAGAGTGAAGGCTGTTACTAAGACCACTCCTACAGAACACACTAGTATAGGTGGAATATCCATCGGCAATAAAAACACAGGTTAAAATTAGAGAAACAATGTAATATTTTTAAAAACATTAATATATTAAATAATTAATTTTATTCATTACAAAATATTTTATAGCAATTGAACAAATTGATGAATCTAAAAAGAATCTACCTGATGGCAGAGAATATACGTTTAACAAAACAACTGGTGGCCGAACTTACCCATCCTTAGTTGTAATAGCAAGACCAAATTTACGTAATAAAGACACTCCACCGCAAGTTGCACAAAAAGAAAGACAGGCATTAGGTATAATTTTTTCTTTTTTTTTTTTTTGTCAATATACAAGCGTGCAGCGTTAAACGCGTATTAATAACTGAAATTTTTCAGATGCCAAAGTTAAAAATGTGCTCATGTTTTCTGCTACAAAATTCGCTGAATGGTTGATACAACAAGGCTTAGTAAAATCGGAACAATACTGTTTGCAGCATAGTTCGAACTATCAGAGACCTAAACTCAAACTGGGAATGTATAGCGATCAAGGAACATTTCCCTATTCCGGTGGCTATGTATGGATATCTAGTTGTTGTCCCGACAGATTCGTTTCCGTTTTTTCTGGTTCTATTTTTCAAGGAGCCCATTATACACCCACAGTCTTATTAAAATTGATTTATCATTGGGCGTGTCAAACTAACGTGCAAAACGTAGTCTCTTGGGTGAAAGTATCCAATATGTACCTAAAAAACTTTTATACAAATCTACGTAGCATTTGTACAGCGGCAGTGTGGGACAAAAGTCGTAAGATGGGCGGTAAAAATTCAGTAATACAAGTCGGTGTGATTAGTTTAGGCACGACATCGCAAGATGGACATATGCGACAGGTGATACATCTTGATATTCTTGTTTCACTAGAAAAAAAATTGGATAATGACGAATTTTCAGCTTTTTATTTATTTAGGTGAAAGTCGAAGTTCTCGGCATTCTAGACCCGTCTACATTGGATATACGATTACGTGCGTGTGAACCAGTACAGGAAGGGGAGAGATCATTTAGAAGACGATTCAATAATATTCTACATCCATTAAAAGACTGGGTCCATACAGACTCCAAAATAATGACCGACTTCACTGTCGATAAAAGTACGTTGAATGAAATGGGCTATAATCACGTCTTTCAGTCTTCATTTTCAGAACAAAGCCCTAGAAATCTCATGAGCAATTTTCATATTATGGAATATCTTAGAAAAATTGTGCCGAGAATGTTTCAGAACACATTGAGTTTGCTTAGTAGGCAAATGATACAACAGTTCTTAGACGAATTAATATGGAGGGAGATATATGGTGCTACAGCGGAACGCGCATTTGACAATCTTATACGACATATCTCGGAGCAAACTAGAATCGATTCCAGTGAGTGATAAATGTCATTGATCACGGATAAAAATTTAACAATTTCTGATTGTATGCGAATTTAATATTAGATTATCGAATAAAAAGATTGTATATCTTTCTAGATGAATCTCTGCTAGATCGCTTGACGAATATAGCTGCTAATCCATTTCAAAATTGGTCTTATTCCACGTCAACTGATACATCAGTTACAACATCGAAAGATTCAACTCCGATAACTGATGTAATATCTCAGAAACTTCCCGAAACTATTACAGCAAAAGCACAGCGCAGAGGAAGAAAACGAGGTATAATAACTTCAACAGAACATGAAGCAAAAAGAGCAACAATTGATTCTAAAAATAATAAAGAAAAAGAAGATAAAAATGAAAAAGATCTGAAAGATCAAATTCAACTTCAAGAATTATATTATGCTACAATAGAGGGTGATCAAAATCTCGTCTTAAAAGAATTAAGGATTTCTTTATATTTCAAGGTTTGTTCAAAATTTTTGAGCTGTCATACTATTAACATGACATGACATGAGTTTATATCTGACTATGTTTATATCAAACTATATTTATATCTGACAAATAATTTTTTTGGGCTTGTAGTGTTTCCTCTGCTCGACTGTAATGAGATCTAACACAGAAGTAATGGAGCATATGGTTAGTCATGTACCACCGCAAGTGCCGGGTCAACCGGAATTATCGGTATGCCGATATTGTTGTACTCCGCTATCGTCTCGGCATCAAATGGTTACTCATGTGTCAGAAACACACAGCAATTTCGGACATTCTGATAGCGTCATGGTAGTTTGTGCGATTTGCGAAGAGAAATTTGGTAAGCTAATATTTTTAAACTGACTTGTAATCCGTAATTATGTAAGAAGATAAATAAGATGTATAATGCGAGGTAATCACATTTGTACATGTTTCTCGTTCAGGTAAGAGTAAATCGTTAATTGATCATTTGTCATTAATGCATTATCCTTCCGAGATGCCGTATCATTGCGAAAATTGCGGCTATCGAACATCCAGTCATAAGGACATTATAGATCATTATTATAAAGTTCACGAAAAGAGTGAAGGATTGCAATGCCCGTATTGTCTTAAAGTAAGAAGAGGAAAATATCACAGATAATCTTATTCCTGTGTTAATATAGATTAATACAATTTTTCTATTGTGAAAGGTAATACATTTTGTGAATGAAGGCAAGCCGAACGCGTCCAATGTGTACGCTTACTTAACGCATATGCAAAGGCACATCGTAAGAAGGGATCAAGGAAAAGGCAACAAATGTTCAAGATGCTGTCTCTGGTTCAATCAAAAGAGTTCCTTAACATTACATCAGCGAGAATTACACGATCATGTTTTTAATTCAAGTATATATAGATATTTAAATGTGTATATATAAATATGTATAGATATTTAAATGTGTGGTTAAATATTTAACGTTGTATAAATTTTTTTTCATTACCAACCAATTAGTAAGAATTTAAGCAAAAATTTAATCGTAATTTTACTTATATATTTATTTTATATTGATTATATCATTTTTAAAAATATATTTTGAATACGTTTGTATATTCTTGAGACTTCCACGGGTCCTTTCTATATAAAGATTATGCATTTCGCAGATTTCTTCAGTGTCCAGATCCATTTTTGGGATGCCAACGTTTCGTGAACTTTGCAGTATACTTCATCAGGGCAAAGATCAGTATCAGGCTGCTCCTCGCCCTGATGAAGTGGACTGCAAGATTCACAAAACATTGACATTCCAAGAATGGATCTGGACACGGAGGAAACCCGCGAAACGCATAATCTTTATACACTTGTATATTATATGAAAAGATTGCAATTATCTTTTAATCATAAAATGAATATATACAGAGGCAGTACCATATTCAGCCGGCAACAGTGGCATAATGGTCCCAAAAGACGTACTAGAGACGACACGATTTACTGTAGATAGTCCTCTACCCGAATTACCACCGGATGAAAAAATACAAAAGTGGGATACTGGGCCAATTATGGTGAATACTTCTGTCAGATATTTGTCCTGCCAGGAATGTGAAGAAGATATTGACGAAGATGAACATTATCCGTAAGTATATTATTCTAAAACCACAACAATCTTGCAATTAATAATGTAAATTATATAATGCACAGAGGTGAGCAACGATGTCAACAGTGTCGTTATGTTACGTGTTGTTGGCGTGCATTCCAAGAACATCAACAACAAATTCATAATGAAAGACCGAAGACCAGTCTGATCGTGCCATCTCCTTTAGTTAATATTCCGCTAGATAAGAAATTGCAATGCTTATGCGGGTATACATCAATTGATGGCAACCAATTAGGTATAATAATTATGAAGAAAGATGTAATATATTCGGTATTGTTAATAAAGTTTAATTTCAATTGGTATAATATTATAGCGAGACACTTGATAAAGTGTAAAAAATTATCAGCACGTCCCGTTGATGAATCGACATCTGGTATGCTCAATAGCTTAGGATTAGTTCCAAAAACTGCATCTGAGGTATGATAAATTTTTATGTATATATTGTATAATATTTTTTGTTTTACTTTTTTTGTATCTAATCCTTCAAATTAATTATAGGAAGCTGATGAGAAAT